TATTTTAGGCAGAATAGTTACCGTTTCTCAAACGTTAGTTTCTCCTTTTTTTTTTTTTTTTTTCGGGAGTACAAAATTACAGGGTTTTTTATGTTCTACCGGTATTAACTTCCTTAACAAAAGTCTTCTTTTTTTTCTCTCTTCTTCCAAGTCACTACATTCTTCGCTTAAAATTTGCTCGTATCTTCTAAAATAAACAGAAAAAAAGGTAATTCCATTATCTGAATTGTATGCGAATTCAAATATGGTATTTAACAACGCGTCGGGTGTGTAGGAACTTGGGGAATTTTCCATTTTCTTTCGTGCTATTTCAATTTAATTTTGGGTGTTTCTGGAATTCCAACAACTATTGCTGTTGTATTTTTTTACCGCTTGTGGGCTAATAATTCTTCGAATTTTAAAGAATATTTGTTCTTCTCATTTTTTTTTTATCTTTTCACACACAGACCAAAGAAAAAATTAAACCAACGCGGTTCTATTTTCTAGTTGTCACTGTTATGTGCGCCTAAGCAAAAAAGTATTTTTGCTACACGGTATGAGGTTCGATCCCTCGTCGCCACTGTAATCACTCTTAGTGGTTATAATATTGTCATGCTTAGGCTACATGCCGTGACGTCATCAATTCTTTCTCCTCAATTGAATCCAACAGAACTGTTGATTTTATTGTGCATGAAATCTACAACAATTGTGGCACAAGGCCTAAAAGCTGAAATGGGTTGAGGCTGATCGACATTATCTTAAACCTAGGTAATCACAACCCATTCATTCATTACAATTTGCACATCCAACATAACTCCTCCATCACCATTCAGTCCTACATATACCACAATACCGCACACATTCAGGGAACCTACAAAGCTCCCCATTATTGAATATAAAATTATATATAAAAAAAAAATATTGATAAGCAATGAGGTGGGGATTAACTGGCTCCAACTATTATTTATTGTATTTGAAATACAATCGCGGAACAAGGCCAAAATGGCGAGGTGTTGAGGCTGGTCATCACTAACTATCTTATACCTAGCTAATCTGATTTACGACCCTTTCACACATTACAATTTTCACATTGTTGTAGAGTACTTTTCACAATGGAGGCTTGTATTTCAATAAGTCGTCCTAAATTAGGGTCGACGTACAAAACGTTAGGAACTTGAAATAAGAGTTAATGACGCAGCAATCTAGTTGTGATGGTTGATACTTCAATGTCCGACATCGACTGACTCGCTCAACACTACTCAGTCCAACTAGCCACTGCTACTACTACTTATTATCTGTGGGAGTATCTATTACAATAGAATAGGTATTATGGTATAACATACATTCACCAAAAGAACTCGTCCGTCACTATTCAATCCTCCATACACCATAATACCGCATCCTCCCAAGGGGAACTTACAAAACGCGCCCCCGTGCCTGAACTGGCTCCAACTTCTGCTGACTCAGTTTGAGTTCATTATTTAAGGCGTCTTTGCCTTATTCATTCGGGCTATAAGGGGTGTCTTATTTCTTCCTCAATACTGATCAAATAAAATTAGTATATTTTTTATTATTATAGTATTACAAAACCCAGCTAATTAGTAATATGAGGGCAATAGTAATATAAATAATCTGTATTGGGATACTGATTTTGTAGTCTCGATAACATCTGAAGGATTGTTGTGTCTGTATTACCGTTTAACGTTAACACAGCAGTAACAGTAGTCCTGGCAATTTTATTGCTCCAGCATGTAAAATCGACCATTAATATGTGGAGAGAAATAAATTTTCTTCCGAGCCGAACATTTACGGTAGCCAAGACCGAACTAAATATGGTTGTGCTCTTCAAAATTGAATTTTTAATTCGTCTCTATCACAAACATCTTCACTCAGGAGTGTCTCACTTCTACACTCCCAGGCCTGCTTCGTTTATGTCCCATTGCTCTATTTTTATTCAGAAGAAAAGTTCTTTGTCATTTTGATTTATAATCGTCCAATATATATATATATATATATATATATATATAACCCGGATATAAGAGACCCGAATATAAGAGAGATTTTCTCTGGTCCCAAATTAGAGCCTGTGTTAATGTATATAAAATAGACCAAACCCGGATATAAGAGACTTCTTCTCCGGTCCCGACAACTCTCTTATATCCGTGTTACACTATATATATATATATATATATATATATATATATAATGAACAATTTTCATATACTCGAGTATAGTGCGATTTTTACGCAAAATATAGGAGTCGTACTATCAGTCAGCTATGCGTGAAACACGCTTAGAGGATCATGTATTTTTCGATACATGACTGACGAGGCAGACTTTTCCCGCATTAGGTTGCCATTTCTTTCCGCGCTAGACCAGTTACCATCCAATAGCTTGGGGTGGAAGAAGAGGATTTACACCTTTCCCAAGGATATTAGCACGTAAGTGAATGAATTAGAACTCGGCTCTCCGATTTCTGAATCCGAGCCGCTATCCATTACACCACCGTTCCTATACATAGGGGATTTTTTTGAAGAGTGTCAAAAAATCATGCCTTTCTCGGTAACCGGCTGCACTATGCACAACTTTTTTTTTCTGGAGGGGTTAAAATTTATACAAAAAATTTCAGAGATCACGCTATACATGAAGTCGTTTTATACACGAGTACACGCGATAATTCACTAATTGTATGGTTTGATAGTATAAAAGCGTTTAACTGGCCTTTATTTTCCATCTTTCAACCCTTTTCGCATAGACAAACCATTCTTAACCTCTAGCTAATCTGCCGTTATTTTTATTTCAAACATTCCTTAGTTATCCCAGACCTTTACAGCTGGGGCCCACAGTGCCAAGATACATTGGATTGAATCATCCTTGTTTCATTCATATTCCAATGGTGATGAAGAAGTTCCACCCTGCTTGTTATCAAGTCTAGGGTCAGCCGTTATCTATCTTACGTATCCACATAATATTCACTTTTACGCACTTAAAATAACCTTATTTAGTAACGCTCTACCTTGAGTGGCTCCTTTTATTGAGTGAACAATAGTACAATAAAAAGGAAATGCGGAGTGAAGATCTGAAACGTTAATAATCCAATGGAAGAAGAGCAGGTTGTTTAAAGCAACAAAAAAAATCGTTTCTTGTGTGGGCTTACTTTGTCATGCGACATTAGAATACTTTTACTACTCAACGAGATGTGCAGGTGATGCAATGGATATCGTTGCATTCACTTGCGCACCTTTAGGAAATATATGAATCCATGACATACCTGCTACAATGGGTAACCGTTGTGGTCTTGTTATGGCCAGAAATAAAGACACAACAGAGGAATTGAGTTAAACCAATATATTAACAGAAACAGTAATACAAACATATACAAAAGAGTGTTAGAGCAAGAATGTTCAGTCCGACTGTCAGAGCTGACTGCTGGAAACTCCCCTCTCCAACAGGCAGTACCTGCTCCTAATTATAGCTGGGAGAATCTATGCGTGCGTGGGTAAAAACAAAATTTAACGATATATTTTCTTTTTATCCCGTGACCCCTGAGGGTGACCATGTGTACTGCAACCGCAGTAGAAATGGTGTTTCTTGGGTAAGATAGCCTGACGGTAAGATAGCCATGACGGTTTTGAATTCAGAATTTCTTCTCGACCGGTTGCCATCCAAAGTTATAGAAAACAGTCTGTCTTGCTATTTACCCATAGCTGGTGTGGTGGTGGGGGGGTGAGAAGTGGATTCATACCTTTCTCAAAGGTATTAGTACGTAAGTGAATGTAATAGATCCGACTGGAAATCGAACCCGGCTCTCCAATTCCTCAATCCGAACGGTTATCCATTACCCCACCTAATGCAATATTTACTTCTAAAATAATATTCTTACAATGTAATCTGTTTCGATTTTAAATAACCCACAATGCATTGATGAGCAAACCCAATCAATTCCCACTAATCAATTAAACTTTTTTCTTATCAGTAATAACGAATATTGGCTTTCTTATAATAACGTTTAAAACCTTTCAAATCATGATGAACAGGATGGCCAATATTTTTTAATCTTTACTGAGCTACGAGAATTCTGTTATGGTAATCTTTTTAAGCGTAGCTTACATGTGACACATGGCCGAAGCATGATGGCACCCAGTGAGGATCGAATTCACTACTTAATTGTTCTAACAAGACAATATTGCTAACCATTAAACCACGCCGAGGTAAACCCTACCACCAGAGGTCGGTTATGTCTGGTTGAGCGTTTTCCATTTTCCATGATGTCTGCTTTGCTTTTTCGGTTGAGAGCTGTTATGAAGTCGGTTGTTCAGAACTAGCGAAAACTGAATTAACAATTTTCATACATTAAACGTTCTTTTTCCATAGACAACGCTCAACTATATTTTGGCAATGAACTGAGTTTGAATCCTAACCCAATACAGATTTATGGCTCACATGATTTCAAACGTATTTGATTTGACATTAACTATTGCTGTGAGGAAAGAGGAAAGTCAAAAACACGGATTATGCACATAATATTGCCTTAGGACAACTTTCAAGTTAATGTGTAAAAACAAATGACTTTATTTTAAACCTTATACACATGTCGATCACAAACAGAACAAAGAAAAAGATCCTGAAACATAAGCAGAAGAATAAGAAAATATAAAAAAAAAATATGGAAATAGAAATAGTTTGAATGTTTTCAGAACAATGATGTGTACAAGGTCCAGAGGGATGCAGAGTAAGCGACACAGCTTAAGCTGTTATGTGTAGAAGATAACAGGTTAAGAGTGTAATGACCAAGGAAGCAACCTCTTGGGAGTCGGTTCGAGAAAGCAGTGGTATATGGGATGAAGTAGCTCGAATGGCATTTACATCTCAGCAAAGGATAACGAAGGGAACGAGAGTGGTATGGCAGCTTTTAGCAGTGAAGCTTAGGCCTGGTGAGATTAAGGAGTGTAGTTCATGATAATAGACAGAACAGTAAACGGTTTCTAAGGTGGAAAGTATTTCGTCCCCAACATCCCCAGTTCATTATCCACCTCTCTGTGTCTCTCTCTGGGCAGTCTCTCTATTCATCCATCTGTTTCTCTCTACCCGTCAGCTCATTATCCATCATTCTCTCTTTGTGTTAAGTGTCCACCTTTCAGCTCATTATCTATCAATCTATCCGTCAGCTCAGCCCCTCTCTCTCTCTTTGTGCTAATTATGCATCTCTCTCTCTCACTCTCTCTGAATATTCATCAATCTCTCTCTTTTTACATATCCGACGACTCATTATCCATCTCCCTCTCTGTTTATTATCTACCGAACTCTCTCTCTCTCTCTGTGCTAATCATCCATCCATCCATCATATCTCTCTCACTCTTACTCTCCGCTTATTATCCATATTTCTTTCTCTCTCTCTCTCTTTCTCTGGTCAATGTTCATCACTCTCTCTTTATATATCAGTCGGCTCATTATCCATCTCTCTCTCTGTTCATTATCCACCCATCTCTCTCTCTCTCCGCTAATTATCCATCCATCACCATCACTCTCTCTCTCTCTCTCACTTTCTCTCTCTATCCTTCAACTCACAATCCATCTTTCTCTTGCTCTGTGCTAAGTTTTCATCTCTCTCTCTCTCTCTTTCCTGATTTCTGCTCAATATCCACCCTTTCTTTCTGATCATTACCCATCTTTTTCTCCCACTCTCTCTCACCCCGAGGACCCTGCCACGCCCACGTAAGATTATCTTTCTTTCTTTGGGGGGGGGGGGGCATCCCGTGCATTTTATATTCAGCATTGCTGAGTAACCTTGAACCTCCGTGCCTGCAATGAAACATAGTTTGAAAAGAACAGTTTTTTTTTCATTGACGTCGCTATCATTTTAACTACCTTCGCTTCTCGGTAATGTTTATTGATTAACAAATCGATGATTAGAATTGTAATAAAACCTAAACGTAAAAAGATTGAATTCATATATGTTCGTTCTCGAAAATTTACTAAACAATATTTATTTATTAGATTTTTTATTTTATTTACAAAATAAGGTTATATTTAAAACATTCTAAAAATTAATATACTCAAAAGTAATGCAATGAAATGCCATTTACCAATTCATAAAGAAATATGAACATTTTTAATTTATAAATTTGTAAATATTTACTAAATTATTAAAACATGTGAATCCTTATTTACCATTTTTATAAAGTTCGTATCGATTGGCAATTAGTCGATGTTTTGCCAACAATTCCAATGAACAGTCTAATAGTTTTCATTATTTTTGTTGCCACTCTTAGTCACTTCTAACACGCACAATTTGTCTGAGATGAGGTGTGCATAAAACTCTGATTAACCAAATCGCCACCATTAAAAGTGGCGATGCGGCTGTTCAGAGTGGCGATGCACAGGTGATTACTAATTCTTTTTTTTAATTACTAATTGAGTATAGTATTTAATTTTATGAATTACTAGCAGTAGAGCCCGGCGTTGCCCAGGGATGTAACAGTAAGAGATAGATCAAGTATCGACCATCATAAAGACTGAAAAATAAAATTGACAAAGATTGTTTAAGGTTGACGGACACGCATGTCTTAATTAGCTTTTTTTTTTTTTTTTTTTTTTTTTACGAATTGGTAAAATCCAAACTGAAACAAAAACATTGTTTTCAATTATGAGTCTACCGATTGAATAGAATTTTATTATAAACAATTGTCTTGTAAATGGAATTTTTAAAGCATTCTGAATGTAAAAATAAAGAAAAAAGTGTGCAAGACAATAAGAAACACTACCTGCCAAAAAAGTGATGTTTTGTTGAAATCGGTTGAAAAATGTAGGAAATCCGATCCCATATATAAACACACACACATACACATCCTGGGTTTTATAATAAGTATAACTCGATATGAGTTGTCCCCCTTTCATTCTCGCGTTGCCTCTTAATCATGTTTTCAAATTGATTTCGTGCAAAAACAATTGTTTTTCCAATTTTTGGTGCTGTCAGAACCACCGCAAGGTAATTTTACGTAGTCCTGTGAAGTTTTGTTGAAATCGGTTGAAAAATGTAGGAAATCCGATCCAATATATAAACGAACACACACATACACACACAACCAGGGTTTTATAATAAGATTAAATGATTTAAAAAAAATATGCTTTAGTTAAGCATTTTTCACAAAATCTTCCATTAGACATATTTAGCAAATAATAAATATTTCTTTTACTTTTCAGTCGTTCGATACTCGTCACCCGTTCAGTCCGGAGTCGAGTCGTCACCCGTATCATCATATTCATCTTTATCATGAAACTTTATTCAAGATGTCAAAGCAATGTAATAAGAGTTCTGATATATTTCGTTGTCTGTGCTTCATTTACCCCCAATCAACACAATTGAAATCAAGAAGGTCTACGAATTGTATTTTGAATGCCCTCTCGGTGATCAAGCTAAGAGTTGGGCTGCGGATATCATCTGCTTAACTTCTTCCAACGGTCCTTGTGATTGGCTTAATAAAAGGAAAAGGGCAATGCCGTTTGCAGTATCTATGATATAGAGAGAACGAACGGATCATTTCAAAGACTTATTTCTGCATGTTTAATGTATATAGATTTTATAGTAAGGCACAAGCGTAAGAGTGTATATTCCATCTGCAAGAAGTCCGTTACTACATAACGATGATAACCTTTCAGTAACATCGGAGAATTACTTTTAAATATCTGACGAATATATACTTTTTGAGGAATCTACTAATGACGTGAAAAAATCCGAAATTGGTGCAGTTTTTGTTCTTAAAAATGAACACGAACCCCATAAATGTTCTCAAAGAGTTAAAAGATAAATCTGAATTTTTAGCATCTCGTCTCAAAGAAAAGTGTATACCTTTTCGTATTCCTCATTTCAGAAAGAGAAATAAGGATCTGACTTTTTTTTTCTTCTCTGTGAGCGGACCACTTTTCTTTCTGAAATAACATGGATGGGCACCAAGATCAAGTTCCATCTAATTGGTGCTTATTCATTGATTCCTCAAAGAGGAGTCTCATGGTACCACTACTACAAAATGGTAATAAGAAACCATTCATTCCTATAGAATTTTCAGTGCACATGAAAGTGTTTTATGAGAACATGCAGGTATTCTTCGATGCTATAAAGTACTTCGAATACAAATGGAATATATTTTCAGATTTAAAAGGTGATTGGAATATTGATGAGTATATAGTCAGAATATATGTCGAAATTTAACTGCTTTTTATCCCTTTGAAACAGTCGTGCATATGCCAACTACTACATGCATTTAAAGTGGCCCCGGTGAGTCACTAGCAACCAGAGTAGGCCATTAGTAACGTCCGAATATGTTTCTTTTTTTTCTACCTCCATAAAGCTTTGCTCAGGAAATAATATGTGAAGATATTTGCCAGGAAGGGCTCAGACGGCTTTGAATATGTGAGGGCCAAGTTCCAAAAAATCAGCGAGGTAAAACTGAAGAAATGCGTATTATTAGGTCCGTTATAAAAGGATCTACACAATGACAACTTCATCAAAACCCTGGATGAAAGTGAACGTAAAGGCAGGGAAACCTTTAAGGGAATCTCCGAAAATTTTCTGGGTAACAAGAGATCACAAGAGTTTAGAAATTGAATTAAATGTCCTCTAAAGTTTTTTTTATTTAGCAATGGGCTGACAGATATCACAGAAAATCCATTTTCTTGATTCACATCTGAGCGTATTTTACGGGGAACCTTAGAGCAATGTCTAATGAGTGAGGGAAACACTTTCATCAAGACATAGTATCAATGGAGCAACAATATCGAATATTTTTTAATTAAGTAATGCTTGCTGATTATTGTTGGCTGTTATACGGGGATGAACCTGAGAATGCTTCTGTTTGCATACTAGCAACCACCGATTAATAAAATGGATGTTGATTCATTGATTTGATTTCCACGACGTATCAACAATTTGCAGGTTATTTAAAGCCAGAATTTATTTTTAGAGTGTAAGAATTTATTTGCGGAGATAGTAATATTTTAGTGATAAAAGTTTTACTAATAAATCCATAGATGAAGAAGAGATGAATTCATACCTTTCCCAAGAATATTTGCGCGTAAAGGAAACAAACGGTAATATAAACTCGTCTCTTGGATTAACAATTCCGAGCCATTATCAATTACCTCACCTGCAGATCCAAGCCTACAGTCACCCGTTAGGCAGTGTTGCTTAACTTCGTTGATTGTACGAGTAGTTGTAGTAAAATTAATATTAAATAGATATTTATGAAGAGGGTCCATAATAGAGAACATTGCTTCCGTTAAAAGCAACTGAAATTAAGACGAAAATTCCTATTCAAAAATTATGGTTAAGCATTGTTGTTAGCACCATAGTTACGAGGGTGGGGACAATTTGAAATCTTCTCATTAATAACTTCATTGTTTCTATGTAGGTAAACTGACATCTGACTGTTCAAAGAAGTCTTTTCGTCCTGTTTGTCAAAAAAGTCAACAACGGCAGATATGACGTCACAATCAGTACGATACTAATTCCGAACGAAATGTTTTCTCATATTGGGTTAACAAATGATAGATAAATCAGTAGAATAGGAAAGTTGATCAATCGGTTTAAAACCACAGTTATGGATAGAAGCTATTGAAACTAAGGACTCATTTTTGGATCATTGTCCTGAGGTAACAAAACCACTTTCATCAGTTTGATCTTGATAGAATTTTTGTAACTGTCTTAGCAAACTTGGTATAGTAGTCTCCATTGATGGGATCCATTTTGGAGTCAATACAATGTCTTTTGAATACCCCCCCCCCACCAGAAAAAAAAACTTCCCTGCAGCTGAAACAACCTTGGCCTTATTTGGAACTGATGAGGAAGGGGTGTTTTCATTTTATGGATTGTCTCCGTCTAATAACTTTATGAATCCAAAACTCGTCCAGGGTTAGGAATGGTTCAAGGAAACCAGATTTAGATTTGAAATTTTTTTAACATCCATATGGTTTTCCCATTCGAGGGTGGGATGAAAACTTCATAGGCTGACTTTGAAGGAGTGATGCTAGATCTGTGAAATTACGCATGTGTTAATTTCGATTCTTAATAATGGATGCATTGTTTATTTACAGGTAAACTGACATCTTACTGTTCAAAGAAGACTGTGCATCCTTTTGGTTAAAAAAGTCATCAGCAGATTATGTGACACTTGTTCCAAGTCATGTTGTTTTTTTTTTTTTTACCTATTTGGGGAGCAGGTGATAGTCAAATCTTTCCTTTTCTTCCATTCCTTTCTTTCTCTTTCCTTCATACTTTAATTATTCAATACTTTCAAATTTTTATTTCAAAATGTATTGTAAAGAATGAGTGAATTCTGGCATGTTTTTCTCCCTTTCAGAACAAGAATTTTGACAGGTATTTTCTCCTTTTTAGAACAAGAATTCTGACTGTCACCAGTCAGAAATGCATTGCTTTTTTGGTGATGATAGTATAATAAAATGAAGATCTAAGATGATGAGCTGAAAGGTTCATAGACTGATTATGAAGAAGTTATGCTAAAGCTGTGAAATCTTGCAGCATTAATTTCAACATTTATTTTATTAATAACTGCATTGTTTCTTTCCAGGTACGAGGGTGGGATGAAAAGTTCATAGACTGACTATGAAGGGGTTATGCTAGAGCCGTGATGCCTTGCATGCAT